GGAAGGAAGGAAGGAAGGAAGGAAGGAAGGAAGGAAGGAAGGAAGGAAGGAAGGAAGGAAGAAATGAATAAGCCGAATTTTCTTCAGAGGGAGAAATGGTCTGGTACATAGCTAGTATTGTTTTAAGAATTATTTTTTTAAAGCTTCTTGTGGAGGCAAGTTTGCATTTTGGAGGAAGCTGTTGGGAAATAGAAGGTTCACTCAGTCCCTGTTGCCTTATCTCCATAGATGGTAAACATTTCACGTGCCCAAACTGATGATATCACCTACCATTACACCTTTGCAGATAGCGATCTCATTATCAAATGTGTGTAGAAAAACTCAAGGAGGGAACCCACAGAATCTAGCAAATAGATGTCTGTCCAGCTAATGAAGCATACATTTTAAAAAATTATATTTGTTTCATAAAATGTAGGAGTTTTGACTGTGAAGATCTTGAAGGCAGGGACTGTGTTTTTTTTTTTATAGTTGGATAATTTATGCAACTCCCTAGTGTTTACTACAACATATTTTATTCAACATTTGCTTGAATATTTTATACTGAGAAAAATAAAAAGAATTTGATTTTCATTTTCCATTTGTAAAACTTACATATAGAGTCTGCTCCTTGCTCATTTGGGGGGAAATGCAAAGTAAGACCCTAAAGGTAGAAACAAAAATACAATTTTGAAACTACTGTCAATTAGAAATGCATTCAAACAGCAGTTTCTATTTATGTGCAAAAATGTCAAAGTTGCCTGGCATTAAAGCAGGAAGAATTATGTCAGCTCCCAGGAAATACAAGTGCATCCTTTATATCTGATTCAGTTCAATCCAATTTGATTAAATAAATACATTGCAAAAGCCCAGATGAAAGTTAATGAGGGCATGACTAAAGACACTAACAATGAAAATAGAAAGACAGTTGAGCAACGTTGCTTCATGGGATAAAACTCCTTTGCATGACATGAAAGTTCCTTCACGATCACGCTTCTGATTGCTTCTTCTGCTTCATCTTTTGCCAAACTACCCCAAGTTCCGGCATTGAACACTGTCTGGGATTTCCCCACATCCTTCACATCTCCCTGCCTTTTCCCCCAACGTTTCATTTTGAAGTTTTAAAGACTATTACAGTGAGCACCTATATGTCCACCACCTAGATTTTATTATTGTTCTATTGTACTTATTTTATCCTATGGCTACCCATCCCTCTATCCTTCTCTACCCGTCAAAGTAAATTTAACTCACCAGTAGTCTTCCCCCTAAATATTTCACATGTATATTCTTTAATTGGAGATCAGTACTTGTTTACATGGCCTTTTATTTTCCTGCTGTGTTAAGTTTTACATATAGTTAAATATGGAAATCTTAAGTTTACCATTTACTGGACTTGGATAAATGCTGTGTAATATAAACCCCTATTGAGATATAGCAATTTACCATCATTCCAGGAATTTCCTTTACGCCCTTTCTCAGTCAATCCCAGCCCTGGCCTTCCAGAGGCAACTACTGCTCAAATTTTTCCCCACCAAAGATGCGATATGTCTTTCCTGTTGTTGAACTTTATGTAAATGGAATTATATACTCTTATCTCACCCAGCATACTGATTTTGAATGTAGCTGAGTGTAGCAGTAGTTTGTTTCTTTTTACTTGCTGAGTAGTAATCTTTGTGTGGATATATCACAGTTTGATTACCCGTTCTCCGGTGCACAGACACCTGGGCTAGTTTCAGTGTTTGACTATTACATATAAAACTGCGATGAACATTCTTATATAAGTCTTTCTTTGGATATATATTTTCATTTCTGTTGGGTAAATATTATTGGAATTGCTGAGTCAGAGGATAGGTATATATTTTTAAGTCATAGCCAAATCCCTTTCCAAAGAACTTGTACTGGGTTATACTTTCCTGCCAGCGTATGAGAGTTCTGCTTGCTCCGCATTCTCACCTACACTTAGTGTTGTCAGTCTTTTTAATTTTAGCCATTCTGGTGGGTGTGCAGTGGCATCTCGTTGTGGTTTAATTTGCATTTACCTGGTGACTAATAATGTTGAGCTCTTTCTCATGTGCTTATTGCATATTTGTATTCTTCCTGTGTCTGTCCGAATCTTTGTCTTTTTATTATTGAGTTATAGGAGCGCTTTATATATCCTGGTTACTGGTCTTGTGTCAGACATAAGTTTTTTAAATGTTTTTGCTAGTCTGTGGCTTACCTATGTATTTTCTTAATAGTATCCTTTGGTAATCAGAAGTTTTAAATTTTATAAAGTCTAGTTTCTCACATTTTTCTTTTATGGCTATTGCTTTCCATATCCTGACTAAAACCGACCTATTCCCAAGTCACAAAGATACTCTGTTTTTCCCCCTGAAAGCTTTATGGTTTTAGCTTTCACATTTAGATGTGTAATCTAACTTGATTTACTTTTTGCAGACAGTGTGAGGTAGAAGCTGAGATTTTATATTTCATATTGATACATAGTTATTTCAGAATGATTTATTGAAAAGAATTTCTTTTTCCCATAGGATTACTTCAGTGCTTTGTCAATAATCAAATGATCCTTTAAGTGCAGGCTTATTTGAAGGATCTCAGTTCTGTTTTATTGATCTTTGTTAATATTTATGCCAATGCTATAATTTATTGATTATTATAGCTTCATAGTAACTCTTGAAATCATGCAGTATAGCCCGGCTGGGCGTGGCTCAGCGGTTGAGCATCAACCTAGGATCCAGGCGATCGGGGTTTGATTCCCGGTCAGGGCACATGCCCGGGTTGTGGGCTGCAGCCGATCAATGACTCTCTCATCATTGATGTTTCTATCTCTCTCTCTCCCTCTCCTTTCCTCTCTCTGAAATCAATAAAGATATATTAAAAAAAAGAAATCATGCAGTATAAATGCTCCATCTTGTTTAAGTTTCCTTTGCATTCCAGGTCCTTTGTGTTGCTATATAAATTTTAGAATCCACTTGTTGATGTCTACAAAAAAGCCCTTTCTAGATTATAATTTGGATGGCACTGGTCTAAAGATCAATTTTGCATCTAGTCTTTTAAAATTTTTTTTTCCTCTATGGTGCTTTGTATGTTAGACCCCTGCCTGAAATGTCTTTTTCTTTCTTTTCTTTCTTTCTTTCTTTCTTTCTTTCTTTCTTTCTTTCTTTCTTTCTTTCTTTCTTTCTTTCTTTCTTTCTTTCTTTCTTTCTTTCTTTCTTTCTTTCTTTCTTTCTTTCTTTCTTTCTTTCTTTCTTTCTTCCTTCCTTCCTTCCTTCCTTCCTTCCTTCCTTCCTTCCTTCCTTCCTTCCTTCTTTTCTGAAATGTGCTTTTTCTAAAATCACTAAAAGGCAACTCCTATTCATTTTCCAGGACTCAGTTCCAATAGCACTTCTTTTCAGTCTTCCCAGCCAACCCTCTCTGCAGGTAGAATTAATGGCTTATTCCTTTTTCTGAGTCCACCGTTATACATACTTCAGTCGAGCTTATCATAATGTATTATGATTGTTTTGGGTTATATATATTTCTTTCAGTATTTTACTCAGTGTCATTCCCCATCCCCTGGTATAGTAAGCCATGCCTGAGTATGTCTACTATATACCACAGGTTACATCTTAGCTGGGGGACACAGCAAAAGCCATGTACACAGAGAAGTGAATAAAACGATTGCAGGTAATGCTGAGTGCTATAAAGACAGTAAAACCAGGGCAAGGGAGAGCGGGGCCTGGAGAGCATGTGCAGCTGTCTTACCTCGGGTGGTCAGAGAAGGACTCTGAAGAAGTGACATATGAGCTGAGGCATAAATGACAAAAATGGAGCATCCATAAGGACTTCTCAGGGAAAGAACGGCAGAGGCAGAAGAAACAGGAAGTGCAAAAGCCCCGAGGTGAAATCAAGCTTAGACCAAGGAAGGGACAATTATTGAGCAACTACGCGTGTCTGGGAAAGCTTCACAGAGCTGAGGCTTGAGAAAATGAGTAGGTGTTACCCTGCGAGAGGAGCCAGAGGGAAAATATTCTCGGCAGAGAGGCTTATATATGGCAAGGAGAGAGATGCAGGCAAAGGGGAGAGTGGAAGGCGATGAGATTGCAGAAATAGGCAGGAGCCAAATAATGTAGGTCTGTGGACCATGTAAAGGAGTTTGGATTTTATTCTGATTGCAAAAGAAAGTTATTGGAGTCAGAAGTCAGTGCAGACAGTGGAACTGATGAAAAGTGGCCACCTTTGGGCTGTACTGGAGGTGTCACAGACAGGGCTTGTCTATGGTTGAATGTAAGTCACAAGGAAAACAGGATGAAGGATAAGTGCCACTTTTTCTGACCCGGGTGTGTCGTGGGGCTATTTACTGATGATGAATAGCACCCTGGGACAGAGGCGGTGGGAAGGGGAGCGGCCGGGATCCAGGAGCTCCACCGTGGAAACGCTGAGCCCGAGATGCCTGTTAATTCTCCAGGAGGAGCTGTCCGGTAGGTCGCTGGATACATGAGCCTGGAAATCAGTGGAAAGGTCAGGACTGGATGTACTCGGGAGTCATAAGCATATGGCAGGTATCCAAGAGCATGGCCTGGATGAGGTCACGAGAGAGAGTCCTGAGGAGCGGAGGAGACGGGGACAGAGGCGCTGCTGTGGCAGGGTGACATCAGGAGGGCCGTGATGCCGGAGAGCTTAGGGGGGGAGATGCTTCAGCCAAGACTAAGGAAGCAGGCAAACCAGTGACAGGTAGCAAGCTGGCCTGAGGAGTTTTTCAAAGTGAAAGTATCTGGTGACTTTAATAAGCTCCATTTCAGTAGCGTGGTGCTCACGAAACACCGATGGCAGCGGCTGGAGGAGTGATTACAGGTGACACGGACAGCTTCACAGTTCTGCCCTGGAGGGGATAAAAAAAAATCTATAGTAGCTAGAGAAAACTTGAAGACAAAGGATTTGCTTTAATCATTTCTTTTTTATCATGGATGACATTAAGGCGTGTTTGTATGCAGAAGGAAGTAACCTAGGAACAAGGGAGAAAGTGAAAGAACAAGGAGATTTTTGAGAACTGAAATCTTTGTTCTCTCACACACACGAAAGCAGATAAATATGTGAGGTGAGGGGTGTGTCAAGTGACTAGATGGTAGGAATTCTTTCACAATGTGTACGTATATGAAATCACTGCGGTGCACACTTTAAACATCTTACAACTTTGTCAATTATACCTCAATTAAACCGAAAAAATTTTATGACTTCAATGACTATTCCTTATCTTTATAGAAAAAGCTTTTTATAAAAATAAAGCAGAAATTGAAAGCTACTTAATTTACATAAGAAAAAGGAAGGGAGGAAATCCATCAGATATGTATCCCCTAAATAAAATAATCCTGATAATACTGATTTTTTTCTGCTATTTTTGAACTCCTCATTCTCAAGCATAATTATTAGGATCAATATAGTACTGATATTTAATAATATGCAATCTCTAATTAGTAAATCTATCATTGCCATCTCCATTTTCTATCAGTATTTCCCTGTTGACATTCACTGTAATGACATGAAATGCTGGCATTCGCTGAAATGCCAACGGCATTGATTGAAAAAGTCCACCTTCATAAATGACCCTGGAGAGGCAGAGTGCATTAATATTGCATTAATATAGCTCCTTTTTATTTAATTATTTTAAACTGTTATAATATGCTAAATATGAACAAATTACTATTTTCTATTTGATTTATGGACATGTAAACAAACAAAAAAAAGGATCCTTGTTAAAATGAGGAGATAAAAATCAAAAACAAAAACGGAGGAAGGAATTTAGAAAGTCCATCTTAAGAGGAAGGGAAGTTGAGTACATGGGTACTAGTGTAGGTAGAATTGTAGATTTGGTAGCAAAAACAATAAAATAAAATAAAATATAAAATAATAAAATAAACAAAAGAGTGAAAAACTGGTAAGAGACTCCTTAAAACTTGAGAACTGATTAAACATTAGAAATGGCAGAGGAGTGAAAAGCGCTTCAAGGATTCCAGCCTTACAGAGGGGAGGTGCTGCTGACGCCCGTAATCAGCCTGTTCGTTCAGTCACTCACTTAACAAGAGGGAGCAAGGACAGGACAGATGCCATCCCTGTCCTCAAGGAGCTTTTGAGTTTATAATAAAGCTCTTGAGGACTCCACTTTTTATGACACGTTATAAGTAAATGAATGTCTAACGTTGTTCTGGGACCCTGAATAGGAACAGGGGCTATTTGTTGTTCCTGAGATGTGTTCTTCAGTTGAGATAGCTTGAGGTACTTTTTTTAATGATAAGAATTGCTTTCTATGATGATCGTCTCGTAACATGTGAAGCCAGTTGGCCGCAAGTCTTTGTCCTTATAGTTACAGGGTGGTCTCAGTCTGTTCCTTGATAGGTTTTCTTCTGACCTGCTGCCCTTAACCTTCCACATGCTTATGATTACATTGTCCCTTCAGATGTGCTGATGTCATTGTTCAAGTCGGGACCCATGAACTTTCTGGTCATGGTGGCCCTCTCCGTCTACTTCCCTACCTGCACCCCCTTCCCCTCCACACACACAGGAAGCTGAAGCAATTTGCTGGATAAGAACCCCACCTTCCCCTAAGGGAAGGTAATTTTGCCTGAAACAATCCTTTCTTATTTTGTTAATCACTTTCTTGTCCCTCTTCCTTTCTGATAAAAGCCTTCCCTATTGTACAGCTCCTCAGAGTACCTTTCTACTTGCTAGATGGGATGCTGCCCAATTCATGAATTGCTCAATAAAGCCAATTAGATCTTCAAATTTTTGTTTTTAACAGCACTCAATAGGCTTCCTACAAATGTTCATTTAACATTCTCCTGATGTTAACATCTTATGTAATCATGATACATTTGTCAAACCCACCAGCTAAACTACAGACTTTATTTGACTTCACCAGTTTTCTTTTGTTTTTCCCACACTAATGTCCTTTCTCTATTCCAGAATCTAGTCCAGGAAACCACATGACATTTAGTTGTCATGTCTTCAATTCTTTCCATGTGAAACAGTGCCTCAGTCTTTCCTTGATTTTTATGATCTTGATAATTTTGAATAGCACTGGTCAGGTATTTTGTAGAATGTCCCTCAACTTAGGTTTGTCTGATATTCTCTCATGATTAGACTAGGATTATGGATTTGGGAAAGAATTCCACAGAGGCGAAGTGCCATTGTCATTACATCATATCAGAGGGTACATGATACCCACATGACTTATCACTGATGCTATTAACCTTGGTTGCTTAGATAAGGTGGTGTACTTCAGGTTTCTCCACTGTGAAGTTTCAACTTTCTCTTTCCATACTCTCTTCCTTTTCCATACTTTGAAAGAAGTCACTAAGTCCAACCCATACTCAAAGGACAGGAAATTATGCCCCACCTCTTGGAGCAGAAATATCGAAATATATTATTTGAAATTTCTTGCAAAAAAAGATTTGTCCCTTATTTACAATTTATTTAGTTATTCAATCACTTATTTATATCAATGTGGACTTATGGGTATTTATTTTATTCTTTTAATGATAAACCAATATTATTGTAATTTATTTTGTTGCTCAAATTATTTCAGTCATTGTGTGTCTCAGTCTTTGGGAGTTCTTTTAGGTTAACTCCGATGCCTTTCTGATATCTTCCCATCCATTTTTGTTTTTAACTGTCTTTGGAAGCATAATAAATGACGAGTTAGACAAAAATGTGTTATGTACAAATTAAACACATTGGCATCCTCTAGAAACTTAATTTGTGTTGGCAGGTAACTTTAATTGTGGAATAAATGCTTCCTGATATCACTGTTTTCATTTGAAATTTTGTTAAAGCATAGGGTTTCTTGAAAATTTTCACATATTGTTCCACTACAAAAAAAGAACTTGAAAACAACAGATAGAACATTGAGTATTCCCTATGACTTTCACTCTCTGTTTCTTATTAAAGTGAGAAACCTATTAAAAGAATCCTTTCATGATTTTATTTTCCTATGAAAAATAATAGTAAATAGACCTGCTTGGTTGAGAGGTGTAGCTTAGAGTGAAGGAAGGGCCTCATGCTCTTGGTATCTTGTTGCTTCACAAATTCTAGAATAGCATTGCCAAGTGCTCTAAGAATGCCTTTCTGAATACTTATCCCACGGGTTCTTACAGAGGCTTCTCTGAGCCATCAGGCATTCATGAACATGACTGTACTGGCAGTCAGGTGATTTTCTGGAGCGAAATGCAAATGCAGTGAAGATCTTTGTATCATCTATAAGTAGTTCAGAAAGAAGCCAGGAAGCTGAGTTAGAAGAGGAACAGATGATTATATTTAGAAACCTACAAAATGTAGTGGATTTGTAATTTTAATATACTTAAAAAATATATAACAATATAAAGTGCCTACTTTGTTCTAAGCATTAGAACACATTCACCTTTAATTCTTATAAACTTAGAGGTTAAATCTTTACACAAGGTCATGTTTTAGGATTTCTGTTGCAAGTGACAGAAATCCCAAAACTGCAGTGCATATATAGAAGTTCATTCCTCTCTTGTGTAAAAGCCTGTGAGGTGAGCTCTTACGGTGCTTCAAGGCATGCATGGTCTTGACCTCCTGATCCAAATTGGAAGCCCATGTGTTCTAGATAGGAGGAAGACAGAGGAGGTCAAAGAAGGGTAGCTTGCTGCTCTTCAGGAAGGTTCCCGGAAGCTTCCCCATGACACTTCCGTTTTCATCCTATTGATCAGAACGTGGACATGTAGACATATCTAGCTGCATAATAGGCTGGACATGTAGTAGTTCTTTTTCTCAGTGATTTTATGCCCAGAGAAGTTTTCTATCTCTATGGACGGGGAAGGCAGATATGAAGGGTGCCTGGAAGTCTCTGCAGTCATCATAGCATAAAGATGGGGCTTGAACTTAGACTTGTCTCTCCCTTGTGTTCTTTCTAAACCAGATCTTTTCATGGAGACAGATATAGCAAATGTGTTGAATTGGCCCCACTTTTTGCTTTACCAAGTTAACTGACACAGAGGAGCATGTATGTGATGGGGTAGAAAGAAGCTGAAGAACCATAAACTGGGCTTTCTAGCTCCCTTTACATGGGCAAAGAATAATCTTCATAAGTATCCCGGTCCTCCTGAAAAGGAAAAACAATACTTTGACAATAGTATATGGACAATACCCTCCGTAACCCTAGACCAGACCTGCACTGTGGCTGCTGAGCACCTGAAATATGACTAGTTAGAACTGAGATGTACCAGGAGTTTAAAACACATTCTGAATTTCAAAGACTTATAGTACAAACAAAAAATAAAAAATATCTCAATAATTTTTATATTGATTACATGTTGAGATTGCAACATAAATATATTATTAAATTAATTTCACGTTTGTTTTTACTTTTTAAATGTAGCTACTAGATTTAAAATTACATATGTGACTTGCATTGTAGATTATATTCCTGTTGGAAATCAATTTGTCTAGAAGACAAAAGATTGTCCTACAGCTGCCCTATCCTTGAAACAGTTTTTCAAAATGCTCATATCTGTGAGAAAGTTATCTCCGAGGATTTTTACAAGAAGGATGTGGGAAATACGGCTCAAATAAATGACCCCTGGCTCCTTCTGGAGTCTCTTTCCCAGCTTCAATGAAGCGTGAATGGTATTGACTATCCCCCGGGTAACCTGTACGGATTGACTCCAACACTTGGATTGTACTGAGCATCTCTAGCCCACACTTCTGAGGCATATGCCCCTTGCTCTCACTAGAAGGATGAGGTGATTTATTGAGATGACTTTTGGAAAGCACCTCTCTGGTTTATTCATGTCCACAAGGGGAAATACTTCTGGGATGGACTCAGTAATAACAGCTAGTCAGCAGAGCCTTCTTGCAGAACCTCAT